AAATACTATGTAAATTACATACGTAAAATACATGGTTTGTCATATTGCCAACCCTAGTATGGACTCAACACTTGTATCGCATTTACAATTTGAGTTTTATTTGTGTTTAATTAAAAACATTCACACAATTAGTATACGATATGCGAAATAGAAATCCATTAAACAATAATCCAATTTTTTCACACATATATAACAAAAAGAGTTATATTTGTGATACACTATACACAGTATATTGTAATAAATTGTTATCCAAATAAAGTTTGCTTCAAATTTCAATAACATTTAAAGCTTTAATTCTTTGAAAATAGGGATTATTTATCAAATGTTTGCAAATCATTTACAAAACACGACAATTTTTAAAGTCAGATCTCTTATTACAATTGGACTCTTAAATACTTTTACAATGAATTGCAATCACATTTGACGCCAATTTAATTAGTGTTTATTTACATACCATTAGTAAAACACTGTTTCCACCAATCAAACAATATATTGCATATATTATGTACACTACATGTGCGCAAACCTGATCCCTGGCTGACCATCAGTTTAGTTACGAAATTTTAGTAGTGATTGTGAGATCAGATCCCATACACAGAGAGATAGTCAGCCATATATCTGAAATCAGTTATTATTAATAAACATTATTATTTTAACCATAATTAAACAATCATTAGTATATAATGTCTACGTTTTATCTACGCTATAATGATGGCGATAATGTTATTCGGATCAATAAACCACACGTTAAGACAGTAAAAGATCTCAAGCGTTTTCTACAGTCCAACGGTCTGTACAATGAAAACACACAAAATATTACCATTTCCGATCATTCCCCTGAATGCAATAGTACCGGGTGGCATTATTATGACTTTAACCATGATGATCACAAATTGACCACTAAGGAACGCCATATATTAATTCAAACAATACCTAATCCCGCAATTCTGTCATCACAATTAACCAGGTATGTTATTAATATTTATAATATTATATATTATAATAATTAATTTATTAATAATTCTATAATAATTAATGAAATATTTGTTCAAAACTCTAGTCTGAGTGAAGAGTCGGACCGAAAGTGTCGTGAATTGTGTGAAGAGATGTCGGCTCTGAAGGCAAGCAATGGATACGAAGTGAAAGCATTGAAAGCACAGCTCAAGACATCCAACGACTCAATGGAAGCAATTGCTGAAGAGATCAATCATTTGAAACAAAGGTTTGATATTATCTTCAATAAATGCTATATTTTGTTGTAAAACTTTTTTATTTAAAACATATCTTTTACAGCAATCAACAAATGGTCACAGATTTGAGTGAAGTGTTGGCATTGAAAGCACGGCTCAAGACATCCAACGACTCAATGGATACTCAGATCAAGGATTTGAGGCAAAAAATTTGGTTTATATAAATTACATATAAATTATATGATATAATTGATAAACAAATGTTTGATTTTATTTAAACTTTTTTACAAAAAAAACTGATTTTTAGCAATAAAGTAGTGATCCAAGATTGGTGTCAATTGATTACTACAGCGCTAGTTATCATATGTTTAATATCTGGTGTTTACATTGTGTCCACAAAAGTCAATGGTTTGAGTGAAAAGTTGTCGGCTTTGGAGCAAAGAGTGTCGTCAAACACGAGGTTTGTTATAATTACTTATAACATTAGTTATGTTTTATATAATGTTTTAACTTTATTTTAAACTACAATTTATTGTCTTAGTGATCCAGAAATGGTCGCACCGTTTAGTGAATTGTTGGCCAAAACAAGTTGTTTAACTGAAGAGTTGTTGGCTCTGAACACAAGCAAAGGATACGAAGTGAAAGCACAGCTCAAGTCAGCCATGGATTCAATGCAGACAATGGAGAAAGCGATCAATGAATTGAGAGAAATGTTTTTGATCTTTGATAAAAGGTTTGTTATAAACTAAACAAATATTAGATTATATTTAAAATTAATTTTAAACATAAATTTTTTTTTCAGTTATCAAACAGTGGCCACAGATTTACGCATAATTACTATAAAGATATGTATTATATGTTTGTTATGCGCTGTTTATATTTTGTGGCCAAAAATCAGTGGTTTGAGTGATTGGTTGTCAGTATTGAAGGCATCGAAACACATCATTAAATCCGATGTCAAACAATTGGATCAAGAAATCAATGCACAGAATATAAGGTCTAATTGTAATCTTTTATAAAATATATAATATATTTAAATTTCACATTTAAATAGGGATTCAATGAGTGATTCGTCGTCCAGTTGTTCATCGATCGGATCCCACAATAAAATGACCACTAATTCAGACAATATTCAGGAAATGTTGACTGAAATCGGGAATCAAAACAAAATAACAAACAATTTATTGAAGGCTTTAGTGATAGAGAAGGAGATATCGCTGACAGCACTCCAAGACGTCAGACAATCGGCCGAAGACTCGGAGGACAGCGAATCCATAGTTGTTGTCGACTCACATCACGAATAAGACATTTTGTATTATCTTATAAATTGTCAAAAACTATTACTTTATTCATTATTTTATTTGTTATTTTTATAACATATCGTAACGTAAGTCGAGTTTTTAATTATTATGATTATTATTTCAATTATAAATACCATTAGAATTGTCGCTCAAATAGTTTTTCACAGACTTTTTAATACAATACTACTGTACTATAATGTACTATAATTACTAATATTTCTTATGACAGCAAATCCGTGGCCAGTGTTGGCACACTTTGCAAATAAGACAATTTAAATACTGTTTTTATATTGTATTTGTAATTGTCTTAAATCTGTCATTTTATCCATTTCTTTATTTGATTTTCTTATAACATGTCTTAACATAAATAGATATTTTAATTATTATTATTATTATTGTGTTAATTATAAATACAATTAGAATTTTGATATACAATTTGTATTACTTATTCTATGTCCTAAATTTATCATTTTTTTCATTATATTATTTGTTTTTCTTATCAAATAAGTTGTGAACTTAATTATTACTATATTATTAGTTATAAATACAATAAGAATATTCACTAATTTAGACATTTACTAATTTTTAGACCAACTTTTCATTGAATTACTAATATTTTTCATAACGTAATTAATAATATTGTTGTTTGCCTTATAAAACATTTTTGTATTTTCAATATAATTATTTTAAAAATTTATTATTATTAAAAGTTGAATAAAATTAATAAGAATCGTAACATTAAACTAAAATAATTATTAAAAAATTAGAAAACTATACCATAATTGATAAACTCATACAAAATAGAAAAATGTAAAATCAGTGAACAGAGGCTAGAAATGCGGTACGGATTGTGTGATCACATCCCTGTCCGCAGACATTGTGTTGGCTTTTGTTTAAGAAATATACGGCGACCGAAACCGAAGGCACGGGTGGTGTTGAAGCCGATGGCTATTGTGTTGAGCGGTTGTGTCAAACAGTTTACCACTGTTTTGTCATTCGTATTGTTGTGATTATATTTTGCCTCAATTTTATTATGGGTTTCTCTAATATGTTTGTTATCTAAATATTGATTTAATTCATGTGATTAACAGTGATTTAACAAAATGTTTGAATCAAATGCACTGTATTTTCAAAATAGCGTTCAATACCTGAAACTGTGGCTTATTTTACGACAATTTTATAATGTTTTCTTAAATTAGATTTTTTTGCGAAAACATTTATTACAATCAATGAAATTACATAAAATGGTTTTTCGCCAGAATGAATGCGTTTGTGTTGTGTGAGTGAGAATTTTGCCATTTTTTTATTCAAATGAATAAAACTTTTGTAAATAATTAATATTGTTTTCTAAAAAGCAACTAAAGATTAAGAAAATGTTAAACTAATTTACATTTATAAAAAACGCAAATTAAATATCAATTATATTTGAAACTCATTTCATTCAAAGGATCACAACTTTGTGTAAAAACAAACTTATTTCAAACAAAATCTTTTGCAAAAATTGTATTTAAAAGTTAACAATTAGTTTCTGGGAATGAAAGGGAAGGTTAGGAACAATGGATGGAGTATTAAATTCAGTGGTAAAGCACAGGTGTGTTCATCCCATGGCCTCACCATTCATACCAATGTTAAACGTATGGACAATAAACCCATTCATACGTGGGTTACAAATGTTTGTCGTATAAACCAATGGCAGGCAATGGATAGGGATTATAAAAGTGCCCTAAAATAGACCACAGTTTCAGGTATTGAATGCTATTTTGAAAATTAGATGCATTTTACTCAAACATACAGTGGTTTAGAGATTAGAAATTTTAAATATATAAAATTAATTTTAATAACAAGTAATATTTAAGTTTAATAAATTATAACTTATAAATATCAATTATTTAGAAATGTGTTCACAATTAATAAATGTTTCGTTAATTAAAATGAAGAGTAAATTAAATGAATGATATTTTTGTGTTGAATTAAAAGAAATTTTCGTTTATAACTTTTATTACAATTATTAAAATGACATT